AGCCGAAGATGCCATGGAAACGTTTCAATTTCAACTTTTATCGCTCGCGCTCCTTCCACTTCGAGATATCAAATTTAGAGTAAAGCTCATGGATACCCGCAAAAAAGTATTAGACAACATTTCCGTACAGCATCAAACAAATTTATTAAAAATGAAAAACGAATTTTTAAGAAAAATCGACAGAAAAACCTCATGAAAATGGTCCAAATTTCAAACAGCCATAACTCCTACAATAGTGAATATATTTCAATGAAACCTTTTTCTGAAATAGAGCTGATGAGCATTTACAAAACAGTATTAGACAGCTATTTTATAGGGCGTCAAACAAAATTAATAAAATTCAAAAATGAATTTTTAAGAAAAATCGTCAAGGGGATAAGTGTCTAAATTTTTCGACGAAAAAAAAGGTCAAATCGTTCTAAAAAAATTACTTTCGATTGCAGGGGTCAAATACAATCATTTTTGGTGAATAGTTAGACTCCCGAATTCTTACGCACTTTCGAGAAAAAAATTCCTTACTAAAAATATAATGTGTGGCCAGATATGTTTCTTTTCATACGTATGTTTAAAACATCATAACTCCTGAACGGATTGGAGGATTTTGATATTTCAAAATGCAAACTACGCGTATATTGGCGAAGAATATGTAGAAATTCCAAGAATGTTCAAAAAGTTGTTCTTTAACGCCGTAAAATGAGAAAACCCCCATAAAAATGTTCTAATTCCTCGTTTTTATCACTTCATATGTAGGTATAGTCCAATTACCCGGCATATTTGATTTTCCGACATTGACCCAGTCTTGATAATGCTGGTTAATTGGAATTTTACTGTAAAACGAAGTAATGTTTCGAAGAGAAGGGAAATTGAAACTTGCATAATTTGATTTTTGTTCGTTCAACGAGTACGTGTTGTTCTAAAATAGCCTTTATAAGGACGATGGTGGTGTATTCGTGGCGATTTGGCACGATAAGGAAGGGAAATTTTATTGTGATTCCGCATCGAACGTGGCTGCAATGCTCATAGCGTGACGCGTGTTGCTTACCTAGAACGCTATTGTTTACCGACTCGTTATTTATATAGCGAAGGCATTGGTAATAACCGCACCGTGTCGCAGCGAGTCGCGTCAACCGATAACCGGTAACCGGTATGGCAAAGATAAGGGAAACGCCATCAAACCTACACTCTCTATCATTACACTAGCGTTCACGTGACTGGCCGAGAAAAATCAAACAAGAAATTATTAATGCTGCCTTTCTGACAACTTCTACGAACTATAACTTACGGTGTCTTTGTCGGAAGACACGTTTACAAGTGCTGCGCAAAAGTTTCTATCGTTTCCCTAACAGATTTCTCAACCCTTTGCGCTCTAACAGACTCTTCCTTTATCTCAGAACAATTTAAAAATGTTTTTTAATTAGATGTCGTTAGCGGTAGGTTTACGAAACGGGCTTACGTAAATTCGACGCGTTTAAATTCTAAATCAAACGTTACAGAACTCATAAATATTATTTGTTAGCAATTTATGTTGAATTCAATCGATGTAACGATACGAATATATACCCTAATTAAAAGAAAAGCTGTATTTTAAAAATACTAAACCGTATAAAATTTTCCAGCTTGTTCTAATAAAAGGTAGAAATCTAATTTCAAAGAAATTTTTCAACAAAATTATTTTAAAATAAATTTTCAGAGTTGCTTTGAAAAATAATCCATTTCGAAATGATTATTTTTTTTATTTCAAATAAATTTCGCCCAGGTCTACGATAGAGATACATTTTTTACACAATAGAAAACAGTGTACGCAGCTTATAAGAAAAACAATTTATTTAATCGATACCGTCTTTATACCAATTATAAACATATTTTTTGGTTTAACCGATTAACATAAATTTATCATTTACACTCGCACTCGCGTTTCTTTCGTTGACTGTTGCTCGTATCTCACGCTTCTTTTAAGTTAATGTCTACTTAATTACGCATCCGGCCTCCTCTTATTTTTTTACATTTTATTTATACTTAAACCCCCAAGAGTATCATTTACGAAAGTCGTGTCGAATACATGAGAAATCTAACGAATTTATAATTAAAATGAAACTCGACGAGATTCTGTTTTGCGTTCCTTTGAAACTATTTTGTACGATCGAAGGCTTTTTAAACGAATATGCAATTTATTGGAACGATCGTATGGTTAATAATACATCATGGATTAAAACTTTGTTCGCTGTGTCGTTTATCTTTTTCGAACGACGAGTGATTCGAAGCATACAGTCTTTCCAATTATTATAGTTCGAATTGCGATCGAATAGCCGCGAAATGTGTTGAACAACAGAAAACGCACATCGACTGCCATAAAGATACCGGAAACAAAAAGGAAAGAAAGAAAAGAAATAATAAGTTCGTACGCACGGTGTATCATCATGGCCACGCAAACGATACTTGGATCTAAAAGGCCGCATTCTTAATTAAACAATCGACTTAACTCTAACCATATAATACAATCTGTACGTACACACGAAGGACCAAGGTCGTCGGCGAATTTCGGGCTCTCGATCCCGTTGAAACGATCGATAAAATTTCAAACAATTCGAATTTTTCTCTTTTTATTTTCTCCTTCGAAAACCCGAACAGTACCGTTCGACCAGGTCCAGCTTATTCTATCTTTGGTCCTCTAGCCGCTATGATTCTTCGTCGGACATTCAATTTCTACAGAAATTTATTTTCAAGTTCTCTTCATTCTCCGCCTCTTTGTTCTCCTTGGACGGATACGTTATTTTCTATGGTAAAAGAAAGACTCTCGATTTATTTATTTTGATACGCGAGACAAAACGCGTCGACGAATCATTCGACAACGTTAAAAGAATAATTGCTTTGAAACCCGAGGACCCAACAAAGAAACTTGAGCTTTCCATTCTTAAGTGGTCAAAAGAGTCGCAGAGTCTCTCGATCCGATCGATGCACCCCGTTTCCCCAGAATGGCACGATTTAATTTCGTAAAGACATTAGTAATTAAAATAAGGCACGTTCGCGGCATTTTGGTTTCGTAGATCTAGAAAGACGAACCCCGTATGCTCGTCTGTGATACGGATTTCAGGAGGTAGAAAGAATGAAAATTGTTATTAAAATATCGGTCAGCATAGAAACGTATACAGTAATGATGCATACACAGATTATTGCGGCGCTATCGAGCCGTTTTTTCCATCTAAACGCAACTGTCAACAACATATTGGCGCGAAACGCGTGACAGGACCAAATAAATCAGCCACCGTTTAAGTGGTAGAACACTTTTTACTCTACCTAACGCACAGTTTCCTTCGAACGATCTTTAAACGCACACTTTTAAAAGTACCTTTTATTTCTTAATCTATCGAGCGGCGACTCGACATTCACCTTTTCTTAAATTTCCTTTCGTTGAAACCTGCGAATTTATTCAAGTCCATTACGGCCCAACCAAGCTTCGACACTTCAAATATTCTGCAAACCGTTTCATCCTTGATTGAAACTGCGTCAGACCACGAAATAAAGATTCAACGGAATCGATAGTTCGCGTGCCCGTAACAATAAATTATCGTTAACAATCGCCACTTGTTACCACTCTTCTTCGTAGCAGAAACAACTGTGTTTAATTTCAACGATAATTTATTGTCTCCGCGAGGTTTAAACGTTCCATTGCCACTCGAGCAATCGCTTCTATGTATATGTACGTGGACGTATATCTAAATATTTTTAAAACCCTGCACGTGCAATTGGTAACGCTGACTCGTATGTACCAAATTATAAGCGCAAACATATACACATACTCGCACACACGCATACACGCATCTTAATATAGACGTACTGTGTTTTTTTTTCGTTAAAAGATATAACTATGAAGTTTTTTTTACTCTTTTACGGTTTATTACGATTCCGACGATCTTGCTCGAACTATGAAAAATATCCTCGGAGTGCACGCGTGTACGATCAGAACGTAACTTGAAAGCAATCGGGACAAGAATGACTATAGAACCACTCGATTGTAGAAAGGAAATTATGTAAAATCTTTTACAGTGTTACGGTATTAATGTTCTATGTTCAGACAGAAAAAACAGTTTCAAGATTTTAAACTGAACATTCTATGTACAAAATATTTTTCAAGATCGTTTACATAATATTTCGAGAATATATGGACCTTTACGTACGCACAAAAGTAAATTCCAATAGGATTTTTAAAAAAAGTTATTTGTCGTTTTGTTTATCTTGGTACGAGCATTTATACTGAATAGAATTCTCGTGTCTCGTGAAAATATAACTAAACGTATGTATAAACTTAAAATTATTCGATAGTTTTTTCTCTAAAATTAAACGACTCCTTTGAACAGAATTTAACACTAAACCTACTACGATCAGTCATCTGATCGGTTGAACGGTTTATATTTTTTTGTAAAAACCGGACAATTTGGTATCAAATTTTGGTCAGCTGCCGATGTAAATAAGAAATATATAGCAAAGATGAAAAGAGAGAATCTTCAATAGCCACTGTCTTAGAATAGTCTAACAACACGTATTAAAAATACTAAAAGTTTAGACGCGTGCAGTTCCGAAACTATTAGTGTTTTATTAATTATTGAGGGATTGTTAGAAGCGGCAAAGTCTCCCCTTTAAAATGGTTTTTGGCTTTTGTCGATACGAGTTTTCGTTTTCAAGATATCGTAATTTATGTAAAAGGGTATTTTTCTTAATTTGACTATCTCTGCCTCCGTCTGACGCGTTACGTCGTACCTCTTTGTCGCGTGTGAGTCGAGACAGTCAGGTGATCAGGAAGTCGTAGTATTTCCAAGAATTTACTACGCACTGTTTACTATTTTCACGCGCGTGAGTTCATTCGCCTCAATGAAACGTAAACAAACGCTTCGGACCCTTATATCTCCGGAACTAGCCACCGCATCGGCTTGAAACTAAAATCGCTATATCTCCGGAACTAATAAAGCTATCGGCTTGTTCGAACGCTCGTTTTGAAGGGCGTTTCATTCTCTATCCAATGACTATACCAACTAATTATATTTTATGCTGTCTTCTATGTTTATTTTGACATTTACTTTGACTCTATATACTTAAAGAAGTTTCAGCAATTCCTCTTGGTAGGAATGGGTAAACATGAAGTGTCGGTAGATTTAGTGTTAGCTTCTGTTGGGTGTAAATATATAATCAGTGTTGCAAACCACCGAATTATTTTAAACGTTTTAATTGTGTGATGGACCGATTATTCTATCTCCTCGTAGTTACATTCACGCGTGTATTTGCACACTACACGCACTATCACACACACACACACACACACACACATCTTTGCCTCTACATTAACGCGTATATATATATACATATATTTTTTTTTAAATGTATCTACATATAAGTGTGTATACTGAACGTAGCGTTTAAACGGAAACACCTAACTTTGTTATTTAAAATTGCTTAAGATAAAATTATGCTATTTTGAGGGGCTCGTGTAACTATACACATTTTGCACTCTAAATTCAATTTTTCTAAATTTAAATTCATACTTCTGCACAATCAGACTTTTAGCTGTTTCCAAACTTAAACGAGCTATTGAAAAATAAACATTTCCCATAAACCCAAATGTTTCTTCATGGATATTTGGAAAAATGTGTTGCACTAAATAGTGATTACATAGAAAAATAAATATGTACGTTTCAAGTAGAGTAAATTTATTTTATGATTGGTTTCATTAATCCTTGTCCCAAACATATTTTATAGGACCGGAGTTCTTAATGAATTTTAGTTATCAACCAACACCCCATATTTAGGTGTTCCCGTTTAGCTACTTTACTCTGTATACAAGTTGCGGCTGAATAACAAGTACAAGCGATTGAAAAGTCGTACCTTATGAGAAAAATGAGAAAAAAGAGGAGAATCAAATTTATAATAAAAATAATTTTCTTTTTTTCTTTTTTCTTATTTTTGTCATAAAGAATCATCCTCTTCCATTCATTTGTACGTGTTATTCAACCGTATCCTGTATACAGTACACATGTATGTACAATACTGAAAGTACAGTAATAATGGACGGTTGAAGATTCTCTATCTAAAACGCCTAATCTTGTTCCCTCGTCAATGACCATAAATAAACCGATTGAAAACCGAAATGTTATTTATTTGTTGCAACGTGGAAAGAAGTTCTGAAAACATGTTCACACGGCTGTATGCCAAATTGAAGTATTTAATATATAATACAAGATCCTAAGACTACACAAGAGAAATTAGAAAATACTGTAAACACGTAGCAGAAGTTAAAAAGAGATATTAATGAAACATGGTAATCGATAGATGTAAATGTTACTTCCAAGTTATTCCACTTGATGGGAAAATAAAAGCTGTCATAGAAGCAAACAGTGGGCTCACTACTTCCTATTAAACACAATTATTTAATTTAAATACTATTAAATATTTATTGAATTATTTTCTGATTTTACTTACGCGGTTTTAAGATCCATAGTTGTACGTGTCGTTCTAATCAAATGCTTCAGTTTACCACACACAGACACACGCATGTATTTAATTAGTTGAAAGTTATAAACGTGAGCGGTCGAATATCTTCGTATATGAGTGTACACGTCCGTGTTTTCCCGCGATTCTCGGAAACATCCACTATTTGCTTTCACACATAAGATCTAATTCATTTGAACGGATAAAAAAAAGGGGGAGAGGAATCAAAGTGCCTTGCAACCACTCGACTCGATAAATGTCGTGTTTTAAAACACCGATGAAAAATGAATTATAAATATTTAAAAACTTCTTGAGTTTCCGCCCTCGTGACGCTGCGTCTTCGTAAACAGGAAGATCGAATCTAGCCGCCAGCGTGTCTTATTAAAATCGCATTCGATACTTACACCCACGTATGGATTTTGGAAACCCTCGACTCGTCGCGACTCCGTTTCTTCTCGATTGTCTTGCGTTCCGTTTTTAACGACGATCGAATAGCACGCAATCGGCTGCTGAAAGACGAAGAGATATGGACGGACGGTGACCGTGAAAGAGTCTCAACTATTTCCGGGTATGGGTATCATGTGATAAGCGGAGGGTGATTGGAGAGTGGGCGAGTGTGGGACGTTTGTGGATTGGGAGGGTAGCTGAAGGGAGCGATAGTCGAGCGCCGGCGCCGCTGGATGCTGCCCTTCGCGATGTCTTCTTAGGTCCACCTTCCTCTGGAACGCCTTGTCGCACAGCCCACACTGGAACGGCTTGTAACCAGTGTGCTTCCTCATATGGGTGATCAGATTGCTGCTCTGAGAGAACGCCTTGCCACACACCACGCACTTGTGCGGCTTCTCGCCTGGAAACAAAAATTCAAACCATTCGGTGTCAAACTTACCCGGTACTTGTCCAACGAGATGAAACAACTATAATTTTCAACACTATTCGATACAGTGTTTTAATCCATACAAAATAGTAGTAAACTACTTGTGCCATAAATCTGATACTATAAGAGTTATAACAATTTAAAGTGAAATAATTTAGTAGACTTTAAATTGCTATAACTCTTGAACTATTAGGTTTATGGCATAAGTACCATAATACTATTTTGTAGAGCTTAAAAAACTAGATTGAATAATGCTATCGCAGTCATAGAGTTTTATTTAAAAAAAAGATGCTGTTGCATCGGTGCATCTAAAAAATGCAATTGCAGTTTAAAAAAAAATTGAATTTTATAATTTTGATTACGCTACTCGCTACAGTTTTTTTAAGCACTACCAAAGAGTATCTAGACTCTCATGCCCTATACCTAACAGTTTATGAGTTATAAGCACTTTAAAGTATACTAAATTATTTCACTTTAAATTTCCATAATTCTTGAACTATTAGTTTTATGGCATAAGTACCGTAATACTATTTTGTAGAGCTAAAAAAACTAGATCGAAGAGTGCTATCGCAGTCACAGAGTTTTACTTTAAAAAGAAATCCAGTTGCATCGGTGCATCTAAAAACCGCAATTGCAGTGTTTAAAAAAGTAGAATTTTATAATTGCAAAGACAGGGTACTTTACCCGTTATTACTGTTAATTTTCATCACTATAATTAGAAAGTATAAGCGGAAATGTAACGCGTATGGACCAGTTGGAACAAAATAAAGGGTTAATTGTTCGAATCAATTACGATTGGCTCGGTCGAGCTGCCTCGAATAGAGGATACCACCGGGTAAGATGCAAATTCGATTAACGAGCGTGGAAAGCGTCGGAACGCGGCTTATAATAATGAGTCAAGGTGAATAAAACACACCTGAATCAACCGATAAATCGTGACGATTGTTTTATCACCGTCATTCCGGACAATCCGTTTACGTCACCGACGAGCCGAGTCCCTTTTCGATACAATGGGTCTCTCTACGCTTTTCTTCTTTCAATTGCAAACGATTCCTGGTGTGCAAGATATGTCAAAAGACCGACTAGCGGCAAACAAAGAAGCGGAAATCGATAATTTAGCGTTTCGCTATCACGAGGATCGAATTAATGTCACTCGATGGTATGTTGTTGCACCGTTCAACGAGACAGAGCTTTTTCGTATAGATAATTAATCGATCTTCGATTTTGTTGTATTTAATAAAATATCTGCAAGTTGGAATTCCCCACCGAAGTAATGTTCCAAAAAGCTTTTACAGTATGTTGTACCTACGAGTGTCACGATATTATTAGGTGTCAATGTCCTATTTATAGGACACCACGTAACGTAAAAGAAAAGGATATTTTTTCATGACAGAATTATTTTCCCTGCTTTGAACGCTACATAAAAAAAGAAAAACAATGGGTTAAGGTTCGAGATAATAAGCTTTCCTTGTGCATATTTTGTCTTTTTGCAATAAATGTACTAAAAGCATATTCTTTCGAGTTTGCACGAGTTCTCGTTAAGTTCGAAGCTTCTTCGTTCGTCGCTGCAAAAGGGATTCGTCGAAGCTTAAATATTTTGCAGGGTACTGTTATCGCGTGGTTGAAGAACGATCTTTCGTACGGATCGGGTTACCGATAAGAGGAAAAGCTCGTTCGAAAAGTCCTCGGTTAGGTACTTGTCTGACTGGATGATCGTTCGATAATTCGTGCAAACAGCTGTTCTCCCGACGAAATTCCAAACAAACGGTTTAACGATTGTAAAACGTTGATAAAAGTGTTGCGCGCAAACCGTACGACGGTACCTGTTGTCGTTAAGATTCTATCGAGAAGAAATTAATTTTGCTCGAGGGAGGGAGGAGGACTTTATCTAAGTGCACAAACTCTGGCGAGAAAAAAAAAACTGTCCACGGAGTTGGTTATCTGCCTCGACGACCTTTTAATTTTTCTCCTAGGTAATCATTAATTGACACAACACTTTCCACGTTAACGAACCAACGTCCTTCCGATGCCGTCCATCGATTGCCAAGCAGAATTTCTTTACGGTTTAACGCAGGTTTGCTTAATAAATTTCATTTTTATTCCATTATCTTTATTCTAATTTCTTAATTTTATAAGTCGTTGCACTTCTTTGGCACCTTTACATTTGGAAATAATTGTTAATGCGAATATTGTTATATTTAATATAACATTATCGAGGAAAAATGATCAAAGTTGGAAGATAATCTCGAGAAAATAATTAACATTTAAATGTTATTTATCTCATTCTCCCTGAGAATTATACGATATTAAAAAAATATATTCACGCTACAAATAAGTAATTAGATTAGCTTACGAGCAAAGTGATGTGTTAGAAAGGCTGGTTGGTAATGAAAGAGAAAGAGAGAGAGAGAGAGAGAGAGAAAGAGGGGGGGGGGCAGAAAAGCTTTTTCTAATGAAAATGTCACCGTACTCGTCTTCAAGCTTTTCTCATTTTAACGTGTCATCGATTCGCATCAGAATTACTGCCTTTGCTATAAATACGAACAATGCTTGCAACATGGCGACGATGACACCTTGTTACAACAAGCACCGGTTGATTTGTGTCACCACTTAGACCGACGCAAGGAAAAATACCATTATCGTAATTGTTCGGTCAGCTTTCGATCCGCAACCCTTTTACAACTAATGAAAGATGGTTGCCTCATAACCTTTCTCGAATCGAGTCTCATCTTATTATGGAAATGATTTTCGTGCAAATTAAAAAATGGCTGCGACGCGATGTAGCATGACATTAATAGATGAGAAAGGTAATATAGAAAACCGAATCATAATCAAGTAAAAGAAATTGTTTAGTAATAGCAAACAGCACAAAATCGCGTGATTATACATTGGTCAATATGTACTCTTCGTCCAAGCGATCAATTTTAGCCTCCGTTACGACATGAATTACGAAAATTAAAGTTAAAATATTGGCCCCAATTTTTCTAATACACGAATTAAAGTGGAAAAACACTTTTTAAACACTTTTTATAAAATAATAAGAGAGGCAATAAAAGAAAAAGAAACTTGGGAATGGTAAATAATTCGGTAAAAAATATTTTTTTTTTATATAATTTTCCACTTTAACCATAGTATTTTCAACTTTCCATTAAGTAGGATTGTTCGTAAGAGAAACTTGCGAAGCGGATGGAACACAACGGCGCTGAATCGGTTGCGTCTTTCTATTCCGATCACAGAATTCCATTTTGCATATTAGAGGAATAGAGCGTATTGGAACGGAAGTATAATATCTTGTGAAAACCTTTTCAACTATCCACAATGAGAGTACAGTCTCCATTTTCCACTCGAAACGAGAAAACGTTGCGTTATCGTGCGATAAATTCTGTCATTTCTTCGCGAATAAAATGTTCAACGTTCTCAATAAAGATTGCTTCATTGATAGGATTAATTCCTGGAATAAATTCAATTATAATTCTGCACAACTCTGGCTCCACCGTATTAAAATATTCTTGAACTTGAACGAACTTCTACGTTACCCATGACTGTACTTTTGCCCGCATTGCGCTGCGATTTTTTTTTTTGCACCGTTTCGGCAAGTAATTAGCGCCAAGTTTACATTAACAGGAGATAAGGCCACAAACCGACGCGTATATACGGGTGACAGCATGATAAACGTGATGTTGCAACGCCAATCAGAATTGAAAAGGCACTGACGAAAATCGTAATGTCTGCGTTTAACTAAATGATTTCGATTTCCTTTTGGAATTCAAACAGAGCTTGTAAAAGTTTCGAAAACAATTAGTTTTATTAAAACGATAAAATTCTATTTTTGTTAAAAGTGCAACTGCAATTTTTGGATGCACCGATGCAACTGCATCCTTTTTTGAAATAGAACTCCACGACTGCAATAGCACTATTCGATCCAGTTTTCTAAGCTCTACAAAATAGTATTAAAGTACTTGTGTCATAAATCTAATAGTTCAAGAGTTATAGCAATTTAAAGTATACTAAATTATTTCACTTTAAATCGGTATAACACTTGAACTATTAGATTTATGGCATAAATGGTTTAGTATTATTTTGTATGGATTAAAACACTGTATCGAATAGTGCTTTTAATTTAGCCCTACGATATTTTTCTAGTGCTTCGTAAATATTTTAACGATTAATTTAGACAGGATTCTATTCAATAATGTCCAAAAGGCTGAGTTTCGATTGGACGGAGCGAGGTATTTGCAAAGAATTAGTCGCGATTTCAATTGCATAAAGAAGGGTGAAAATGGGAAAGCAATTTCAGCCGATGGGCAATATTTATCGGGAGTGTCGGCGACCGACGGACGTACACACACGTTGTCGTTTTATACACGGTGGTATCGATCCATCTCGACTCTCATTACCGAACCCTTACCGGCCGGCTTAAATATTTACCAACTGTAACGTTTACTTCGTGGCCGATTTTAATGATAGCACTGGATACGTTGTTACGCGTGTGGGTACGCGTACGTGTGTTTTGGTAGCAGCTAGCCCGTTTAATTATGCAGCGATCGCTTAATGAACTTCATGTAATGGCGTTGCATGGATTACGAAGAGTCCCAACACTGGAAAGATCGATTTCATGCCGCGACTGAGATATTTGTCAAGAGATACCGAAATGCCCGATGGTTCCGTTCTTCTCGACGACCAAACGTTTATTTGATATTCTGACTAAATAATAATAACAAGGATGTTCGTAAATTCGAATAATGCGAACGGAAGAAATTATTGTGCAGAGACAAGAAGTCGACTGTCGGGTCTGATCGCTAATGGCGTAATCTACTTTCCATCGATTCGCCGTTCTGGACTCACACGGGAAGTAGATTATACCGTTTCCGATCAGACGCGTTAGCCAAAAGGCACCTTTCTTTTAATTAGTTTTTAAGTTCAATAATTTTCATTCCTTCTACAATGATCGTTATGTTAGTTTTTCCTCCAGC